ATGCCACCATCTGCATATTTGATTTTTTCAACTTTCTCTAGTACACAAGCAATTGCTCCTAAATCCATCAATCCTACCACTTTTTCAGGGTTCCTCACACATCCCCTACCCTATCTTCTTTCCTCTTTACCCGGCCCAGATAGCACAGCCATCATCGCAACCACTCCCTTGCCTACAGCCCGCTCACCTTGGCCCTCCCTGGCTTGATCAGATTTGCCGGGCAAATCCCTCGTCCTGGTTAAACCCTTCTCTCCCTCCTCTCCCCACCTGCACTTGGAGTGGCTGGGAGACAAGAACCCTCAGCCCCTCTGACTGACCTCACTCTACATTCACGCCACTCACCTCCCACGGGGCCTGGAGGCAGCCTGGCAAGCCCATCACAGGACCAGCAGGGCCATTCTCCCTCCCAAGCTCTGGGATGGCGAATTCACCTTCTCTTCTTGCCTTGAACCCCAGCACCCCCTCCCCACTCTCACTCTCAGCTGATGACTTTGCTTCCTGTTTCTCTGGAAAAACAGAAGCCATGGGAAGAAAACTCCCTTAGGCTTGCATCATTTCACCCGTACACTCCACTTCCCCAGAGGGACACCCTGCTCCTCCCCGAGGCCAGCCCTCCACCTGTGCCCTTGACCTCTCTCCCCTCGATGCCCTAAGGACTTCACGCTCCCACTGTCTGTTCTCTCTTCCTTCCGTATCACAATTTCTCCTCTCTCCTGGATGATTCTGGCCAGCAGTCACACGTGCGTGGTCTAACAACTTCTAGCTTTAAAACAAATCCTGCGGCTGGCCTGTGGCCGAGTGGTTAAGTTCCCACACTCCGCTTTGGTGGCCCAGGGTTTTGCTGGTTTGGATCCCGGGCGTGGACATGGCACGGCTCATCAGGCCACGTTGAGGCAGCATCCCGCGTGCTGCGACTGGAAGGACCCACAACTAAAAAATATGCAACTACGTACTGGGGGGATTTGAGGGCAAAAAGCAGAAGAGAAAAAAAAGGTTGGCAACAGTGCCAATCTTTGGGAAAAAAAACAAATCCTCCCTTCTGGGCCGGCCTGGTGGCATAGTGGTTAAGTTTGTGTGCTCTGCTTCAGTGGCCCAGGGTTTGTGGGCCCAGATCCCAGGAGTAGACCTACACACCGCTTGTCAAGCCATGTTGTGGAGGCTTCCATACAAAAAGAAAAAAGAGGGAGATTTGCACAGACGTTAGCTCTGGGACAATCTTCCTCAAACAAAAAAAGAGGAAGATTGGCAATAGACGTTAGCTCAGGGCCAATCTTCCTCACCAAAAACAAACAAAAAAACAAATCCTCCCTTGATAGCACGTCCGCCTCCAGTGTCTGCCCCATTTCTCTGCTCCTTTTATAGCAGAATCCCTTGAAGGAGTTGTCTCCACTTCCTCTGCTCCCATACTCATGCCAGTCAGGCGTTTGTCCCCAACACACGAGGAAACTGCTCTTGTCAAGGTCACCAGTGTCCTTCACATGGCCGGTTTCAAAGTCGATTCTCAGTCCATGTCTCGGCTGACCTAGCACCCGCCAGCATCTGACATAGCTGACCGAGCCCTTGCCCTTGAAATGCTTTCTTCTCTGGCCTCCAGGACACCTCTCACGAGTCTGCCTCCTCCCACGCCGATGGTCACGGTCCCTCCTCAGTCTCCTTTCCTGCTTTGCCTCCCCTCCCCGACCTTTATGGTTCCAGCCCTGACGTCCCACCGCATGCGGGCTACGCTCACGCTACTGGGCTACGCTCACGCTACTGCCTTCGTAGTGCGCTATGGGGGTGTCTCACCGGCATCTCACGTCTAACGTGTCCCAAACTGCGGTCCTGACGGCCCTCCCACATCTGTCCCTTATCGAGTCTTCCCACGTCCCTCAGCGACAACTCCACCCTACCAGTTTCTCAGGTCACAACTTTGGGGTTATTCTTGGTTCCTTTCTTTTTCTCAAACCCCACATCCAATCAGCAAATCTTGTAGGTTTCACCTTCAAAATATCTCTAGAGTCTGAGTACTTCTCCCCATTTCTACCTGATTCCCATGATGTCACCTTCCTTCTCTCCGGGATGACAGCCTCAGCCTCCTAACTGGCCTCCCCACTTCTACCCTGGCCTCCTCCAGTCCATTCTTCATACGGAAGCTCTAGGTCAGTCCTCAGTCCTCTGCTCAAGCCATCCGTGGCTTCCCGTCTTCCCAAGGGAGGGACCTGATGAAGCCCCGTGTGTGCTAGCCCCTGACAGGCCCCCAGTGCAGCTCCTCCCATGTCTCCCGTTTGCTGTACTCCATTCAGCCAGCCTCCTTGCTGTTGCTTGAACAAGCCAAGCGTGCTCCTGCCTCTTTGTCTTTGTCTTGCTGTTCCCTCTTTCTGGAATGCTCTTCCCCCAGATATTGGCGTGATTGCTGTCTCACTCTTATTGAAGTCTCACCCCAAATATCCCCTCTTCAGTGAGTCTCCTCTTTTTCTGACCATTCAGTGTAAAGTCCCGGCCCCCTCCACAACTCGCCATCACGTGAAGCAATTTTATTTTCTTCATAGCCCTCACCGTTATCTGAAACAATCTTATGTATTTCTTTACTTGTATATTGTCAGTCTTCCCCACCAGAATGAAAGCTGTATGGTGGCAGGATCTCTGTGCCCAGCAGCTAGCACAGAGCCTACCACATGGTTTCCAGGACTGCCATGGAAGGTTGTAAAGGTTGTTCACTGCATCAGAACTCCTGGCTGAGGGGTCAGTGGGTGCTGATATCCAGCCTGCTCTCTGCTCTCCATGCTGTGGGGGCATCCAGCAGGTTGGCTTCTGCTATTTTGCGGTGCGTACTGTATGGGCTGTCTGTGGCTCTGTGGTGGGCAGTCAATAAATATTCATTGAATAAATGACTGACTGATGGATGTGCAGACCTTGACTTGTTTCCTTCTGTGGAACTTCACGCAAATTACCTTCTCACAGCCTCATTTTCTTCATTTCTTGAGGGAATAATTAACGTCTATCTCATAGGACAGTGATGAGGATTAAATGAAATAATTCCTTAAAAAACGGGCACAAATCTGATTTCATTTGTGTGAAATATCCAGAATGGGTAAATCCGTTGAGCCAGAAAGCAGATTAGTGGTTCCTGGAGGCTGGAGGGAGGGGAGATGAGGAGTGATGGCTTCCTGGGGAGGGAGTATCCTTTTGGTGCGATGAAAACAGTTTAGAACTAGATACAGGGATGGTTGTACAACATTCTGAATGTACTAGATGCCAGTGAGTGTGCCCTGAAAATGGCTAACATGGTGAATTTTTTGTATGTGAATTAGATTATGTTACATGAGTACCTCGATTGAAAAAAGAATCCAGGGGCTGGCCCAGTGGCGCAGCAGTTAAGTTTGCACATTCTGCTTCGGTGGCCCGGGGTTTGCTGGTTCAGATCCTGGGTGCGGACATGGCACCGCTTGGCACGCCATGCTATGGCAGGCGTCCCACATATAAAGTAGAGAAGATGGGTATGGATGTTAGCTCAGGGCCAGTCTTCCTCAGCAAAAAGAGGAGGATTGGCAGCAGATGTTAGCTCAGGGCTGATCTTCCTCAAAAAAAAAAAAAAAAAAAAAAACAGAACCCAGCACTGTGCCTGGACATGGTATGTGTTCAGTGAATGTCTTTCAAATCCTATGATTTCTTTGCTTCAAAATCAAAGCAAAACCCAAACCTCCCTTGACTCCTCGCTGCCCCATCCAGGATAATATCCACTTTCATCTCATTCATTTATTTCAGGAGTATTTCTTGTTTCCATTTTACATGTTCGGGACACAAAGGGAAACAAGACAGACACAGACCCTACCCCCCAGAATTTACAGGCTTGTTGGCCCCCCACCCCCAACCCCACCAAATAAAGAGAAATCACAATACCGGGCATCAGAGCTATGGAGGAGAAGGGCCAGGGTCTGCGGGGGCACAGAGGAGGGGCGGAGGGACCCAGACTAGGGAGCGCAGGGAAGGCAGTCTAGATAAAGGCCCCAGCATAGGACCTGGGTGACCAGTAGGCCTGGGAGGAGGAATCAGCCAGGTGGGAGATGGACGTGTGAGAGGAGGGGCTGGAGGTGAGGGCTGGGGGAAAGCAGGGGTCCAGGAACAGCATGTGCAAAGCCTGGCAGGTGAGAGCCGGTGGGTTCTAGGACCAAAGAACAGTTTAATGTGGTTGGAACAGAGAGTGTGAAGCGTAGGTGCCAGCCCAGGAAGGAGAGGTAGGAGGTGGCCATTGGCGGTAAGGCTTCAGCCTCCATGCTAAGATAGTCAGGGTCTTTCCTGAACTGGCCTCCACTCTCCAGCCGTGGTTCCTCCAGGCCCCGCTTGCAAGCCCTGGCTGTAGCTCTGCGCCCTGTGGGTCCCTGTCACTTCTGCCTGCGTGGCTTAGCGCACCCAACACATCCTCCCTTAGATATTTGCTGAGAGGCTGCCCTGTGTCAGGCGCTGGGAACCCAGAGACTGTCAAAACCTGGTTCCACCCTGGGAGAGCTCCTGGCCAAGGGAGGAGGCAGCACAGGGAGAAATAATTACAAGATAATGTAGAAATACTGTGCTACACAGTGCTCTGGGTGTGGAGGAGGCGGGGCTTGCTGAGGTAGCCAAGGGCTCAGGGAAGGTGACTCCTGACCTGGGTCTTAAGGACAGGGAGGCAGTAGGCCTGGGGATGAGGAGTAAGACAAAAAGGAGAGGTTCAGAGCCTAGCTGTGTGGGATGACAGGGTCCTTGAGATCCAGACGGAGGCTTGAACCATCTGTCTGAGTAAACACACCTACACAGGATAACCCAAGGGCACATACATACTCCCCAAAAGGCTTCTCACCCCACACTCCCCATTGACCTCCACATCTCCTCTACACGCAGGCTTACACGCACGTTTGCAGGCCTTGGTGTGTCCTTGGTCCCTCTGGCTTTCCTGGGAAGAACACCCTCCCCCACCTCCTGTTCCGCCCGCTGCCCTCACTGGCTGCAAAGCTCCCTCTTCAACTCTGGACTTTGTACCTGTCACCGGAAACTCACTTATAAGGGCTGCCAGCGTGAGCAGCTGCCTGGGGGTGTCTGCCCCTTCTAGGGCCCACTGGACCCCTGTCTGGGTCCCAGCTGCGCCCCTCTCTCCAGCACCAGGGGTGGCGGTGAGACTTGCGCCATAAGGTTCTTGGCAGAAGCTTGGGAAGATGTAGAATTAGTCGTCGCTGTTGGAGGCGCTGCCTGCTGCCCGGCCCTCCGCCCTCACCTGCCGCCCCAGCCCCGCCTGCTGCGTCCCCAGGTGAGTCACGAGGCAGCTCCGACCTGCCCACCTGGCCAGGTCCTGCTGGCCCCAGCCGGAAGCTCCTCCACGGATTGTACACAGTTCCTACAGGTGGGGAGCAGAGGGGAAGACAGTAGGGGGCCGGGGAGGGGTACTCTGCAGATCCCTGAGCGCTCCTGGGAGCAGGAAGGAGTTATGAATCAGGCTGGGGGCGGGGCGGGGCAGAGGGTGCGGGGGAGGGGTGTTGGGGGGGGCGTTGTGTGTGTGAAGATCAGAGGGCGTGTGTGTGTCCTTGGGAAGAATTCACAGGGACGGGCAGGAAGGAAAGGAGTAGGAGTATAATCTTCGAAACTTCAAGTTGAATTCGATTCATTTCAGTTTAACAAAATCTTATTTTTTGAGGAGGCAGTACCTAGTGTGGGGCCCACAGTAGGCACCCAATGAATGTTTGCTAATGAATGAATGAGTGCGTGTTTTACTTCTTTTGAAGCCCCCCACTGGCCCCCTCACTCTGGCGCTCTCCTCTCAAGAACATGCACTGAGCGGCTGAGTGCCAAGCTCTCTGCCAGTGTCGGGCACCAATCGCTCAGCCCAGACCTTGCCCCCAGGGAGCTGCCCCTCGGGTAGTTCTGATCGGTAGTTGCCTGGTAGGCCAGTGAAGGGGTCCTGGGACAGCCTCACAGGCAGGCGTGGTCTGATTTGGCCTGGAGGGTGGGGGGACTCACAAAACTGAGGAAGGAGTGGCTGGGGAACCAGAGGGTGGGTGAGGTGGGAGGTGTGTGTGTATAGCCTGGGGTGGGGGGCATTGTGGAGAAGAGGAAGAAGAGTTTGGCCTGAGGGGCTTCTGAGCTTGAGGACAAAGGCAGGGCAGAGGAATCCGCAGACAGCCCTGAGAGCCTGAGGAGCTCCTGCAGGATTTTTCAGTAGCAGAGTGATGGTGTCAGATTTGGCCTTTAGACTAGAGGTGGGGAGAGACCAGAGATGAAGGTGGCTTGGCCTGGGCAGTGGCACCGGGGAGCACAGAAGGGGCATAATCATTCCAGAGCTATTTAGAAGAAGGACCCATGGGGCTTGGTGACAGGCTGGAGGTGAGGGCGAGGGTGTCATTAAAAATATGGGTGAGGGGTCGGCCTGGTGGCATAGTGGTTAAGTTCACACGCTCCTCTTTGGCGGCTCGGGGTTCACAGGTTCGGATCCCGGGTGCGGACCTAGCACCACTCATCAAGCCACGTTGCAGCACCGGCCCACATGAAACAGAGGAAGATGGGCACAGATGTTAGCTCTGCGACAATCTTCCTCAAGCAAAAAAGAGGAAGATTGGCAACAGATGTTAGTTCAGGGCCCATCTTCCTCACACACAAAAAAGGAATATGGCCGTGTATCCTCCTAAACTAGGCGCTTCTCTCCTAGGTGTTTTCCCAGCCTGGATACTCCACCCAGACTGAGGTGTTCCACCTGCAGATAGTCTCCAGCCTCAGCCAGCAGGTACTTCCCTACCCTGGGTGCTTTTCCTCTAGATACTCGCCAGATTCACGTGTTGCTCTTCCAGACACTCCTCCTCCAGGAATTCCCATGCCTAGATGATCTTTCCCCTAGATACTCCCTTAGTTCAGATGCTCCTCCTCCAGATCCTCCTCAGCCTTGGGGATTCTCACCCAGACAATTTCCTGATTCAGGTGATCAGCATTTGGCTACTCCCTGAATCCAGCCTCCCTCTGGGGCAGAGGTGAATGGACAAGGGATGTGCCTGACAGGCTGAGGGTAGAGGTGAGGGAGGAGGGGCTCCTGACTCAGGAGCAGAGGGGCCAGGGCTGCCCTGGCTGTGTCTGGGGTCCCTGCCCTGGGTGGGCACTGGCACTGTCTTCCATGTGTGGTCTCCACTTTGGCTTGTTAGCTCTGAGCAGTTGCTGTTGTCCAACCTCTGGGAGCCAGGACTGCCTCTGCCCCCACCCCCATCCTCAGCCCAGCAGGCAGTGTTGCAGACTGGGCTCTGGGCCCTGGTACCGGAGGACCTGGGTTTCAGTGCTGGGACTTTGGCTGAGTTAGTTCACCCTTCCAGGCGTCAAAGTCCTCATCTGTTGAGAAGGGGTGATGTTTATACCTGCATTCGGGGTTCTGTGAGCATGTTGCCCGGTGCCTGAATCACGAGTGGTGCTCAGTAAGTTCCAGCATTGATTTACTTTTTCAGCTGCTCGCAGAGCTGGACCCTACAATGTTCCCTTACAAATAGCCAATTTCCGTGTGCTCAGCTTGTTTCTCTCCCGTGGGCAACTGGTTATGGTCAGTTGTCCAGTCTCCATTGTTCGTGAGCATCCTAACGTGGCTGTGAGTGTGGCCTGGAATGTGAGCCCCGTGGTCATCCCTGACACCCACGTGTGTGTATATCTTGCAGGTTTCTGGGCCCTGGGGCTGCCTGGCATCTGGGGGTCTCCTTGGAGCTGGGCTCTTCTGGCAGAGGCTGGAGCTCACCGGTGTCTTCCAGCCCCTCCATGAGTGAGGCAAACCAGAGTGAGTGACAGTGGAGGGACGCTGAGGCGGGGGTGGGGGAAGGACCCTGCCCCCTCTCCTTGGTTTCCCCAGGGAGCCCATCAGGGCCTTATCCATAATGCTGTCCCTTTCTCTGCAGCCCTTGTGGGGCCCTCGCAGCTCCCCACGGCATCAGCTGTGTCCCCGGCACCAGGCACTGGGACCCGGGCATGGCCTGTGCTGGTTGGGGTTGTGCTGGGAGCTGTGGTCCTCTCTCTCCTCATCGCACTTGCTGCCAAATGCCACCTCTGCCGCAAATACCGTGCCAGCTACCAGCACCACCAGCTGCCCAGGCCAGGGAAGGGGGTCCACCCAGAGGTGGGTGAAGACGAAGATGACGATGGCTTCATTGAGGACAATTACATTCAGCCTGGGGCTGGTGGGCTGGGGACGGAGGGTAGCAGGGACCACTTCTCCCTCTGAGCCCTGATCTCTGAATACCCCACCCCATGCCTGACAGCTTAAGGATAGTGGTTACTACATGGGAGCCATAAGCCTCAGGGACAGAGGTGGCTATGACATAAGGGCTGACCAGGGGTAGAGCAATCCTTCCTTCCCTGACCCTAGCCACTAAAGTGACAATGACCTTCTCTTGCTCAATAACCCTCGATGGCTCCCTGCTGTTCTCAGGAGAAAGCCTACTAAGGGCCTGACTATGGAATCAACTTCATGGTTTCTTTTCTTGCCATTCCCTTCTTAACTCTCTACTTAACTAGTTGTTTGTTATTCCTCCTCTCCTCCCAAGTTCCTCCTCTGTGCGCCTTTGCTCCCACCCTCTCCCTGGCATAGGTACGTCACCCTTTCATTCTTCCAAATCCTCTTTGACTGTGATGAAAATCCCTGGCCGATAGACCCCCACCTGCCAGCATTTCAAATGTGCCCAGATGATAACACTTTAGCGGGTGAAAACCAGTGTGCCAAGTTTCTTTTTGACATGTTTTCCTATCAATAAAGTGGGTAATCGAAATGGTTATAATATATTACATTTTTCACAGGTATTAATAAATCTGTTTTCATTTTAAATAAAAATTGAAAGAAGTCACTCATCTTTATTTTCCTGAATTGGAACTTGTGCATAAAAAAGCTCCTTGTGCCTCTTTGCTGGGAGATGCTGCTCAGACAGCCCCTCCTCCAGGACACCTTCCGTGAGCCCCTCTCTCTCATAACACATGTGAGTTTCTCTACCATTCCCTTGCCACATTTTATTTTAGGCTTTATTACAATTTGCACTTACCCCTTACTGTGCCTGTCCCCACAGCTAGACCGTGAGCTCTCTGAGGCCACAGGCTGTGCCTCATTCTGTTCCTCAGCCTTGCACACGGTGATGCCGAATAAATATTTGTTGAATTTGTTGAGTTACTGTGGGCTGAGGAGGGAGTAGATGAAAGGCAAGTGGAGTCGAATGTGGAAGAATTTATCAGGAATCTTGACAAAGAGGAGGAGGCCAGGGTCACACCTGCTCGTGGGGAGATTGGGGCAAAGAAGGCGGTTTCAGGAAGGGAGAGACTTGAGGTAGCTTCTTTTAGTTGCAAGCAATGGAAAGGAGTTTTGAAGGAGAATTAAAGGGGCGGCCGACTCATGAAAGCAGGAAGCAGGGGGTGCCAGTAGCCAGAGGTCAGTCATGGTAGCTCCAGGGCTCTGTCATTTATGGGCATTAATGACACTCCATGCCTGGGGCTCCGAAACTCTTGATTCTGAGTTTCAAGTACTCAGATGACAGAATCTGATTGGCCCAGTTTGAGTCAAGTATCCACCACTGGTCCAACCAGCTATGACCAGTGAGGGCAGGCTTCTGAGGCACGTATGTGATTTTGGGAGTCCACCTGTTTGTTCCAGGTCATTCCCAAACGAGGGGAAGTCATCATAAACCAGCTGGCCACCCCACATGTGTCCACCCAGAGGCAGAGTTAGCCTTTGAGAAAAGAGCAGAGAAGGAAAGTGAGGGGATGACAAATGTAGGGAGATGCTTGAGAAAAAGGCAGGGGGTCAAGGAGCGCCACAGTGTAGGCAGGGTCTAGGGGTGCCAATGGCAGTGATGAAGCTGGAGTGGGCTAGATCAGCTAGGACCTTGGTACCAAGGTAGAAAGCTTGCCCTTCAACCTGAGAGCAACCGAGGCTCATCTGTGGACATTTGTGGCTTGGAAGTGATGGGTAATCATGATAGAGAAGTCATCCTGGATGCTATGCTGTGTGGGGATGGATTGGAGGGGAGAGACCCAGAGAGAGGTCCTAAGACCTGACTGAGGCACAGGGAACAGAGAGATTCCAGAGACAGGAAGGGGGTGGAGTATGACTGCTGGATGTGGGGAGTAGGAAGGAGTCAACGAAGATGCCCTGGTTTCTGGCTGGATGGCTGGGCACATTGAGGAGGAGCAGGTTTTGGGGAACAAGGATTCAGTACGGGATGCAGGATTTCCAGGGGGAGATACCCAGCGGCAGCTGGATTCACAGGAGGAAGTCCATTCTACAGATGTGGGTTTGGGAACAGTCAGCGATAGGGTCACTGAGACCCTGGGAGTACATAAGATCACCAGGGGAGGGGAGGAGCTGAGGAGGCGCTGAGGACGGAGCAGGGAAACACTGACATCTAAGGGCTTGTCAGCAGAGGAGGACACTGCAGGGGAGCCCGCGCACATAGCCTCAACCCCAGTAAGTGTTCTGAGTCCAGAGAGGTTTGACCATCACAGGCCTGGAAGTCCCTGTGTTTGGGACAGGAGCAGAGGCTGCCCCAGCCTGAGATCCTAGAAGGGGACCCCGAGCGGCAGACTAAGGGGCTGAGGGTACGTCCTGGCCTCTGAGGGAAGAGCTTGGCCTGTCCCCTGGCCTCCTGCTCCCCGGTGCCTACCTGGGGAGCTGCTCTGCCTGCAGTTCTGGGCCAGAAAGCAACTCAGCATCCTGTGTTCACATACTCTCTGGGACCTGAGTCAGAACCCCTGAGGGATCCAGGAGAAGGTAAGGGCCCGTTCCCAGATGAGCAGTCACTTTTCCTGAGCCCAGCACCCTACAAGGGTTGGCAGGGTCCTCTCAGAATCTGCTGTGGGCGTCCAGCCTGGCTGAGCAGGGCCCTGGGGTCACAGAACCTTGGACCCTGTCCTGAGAGGCCTTGCTGGATTCCTCTGAGGAATTGTTGGCACTGTGTTCCGCATGCCTGGCTCTAGGCACGGAGAGGTCCACAGGTTCAGAGGCCCAGGGATGCTGGAACTGCTGGGAGGTCTGTGACCGAGTCAGACCTCTCTCTGGTCTGCCCTCCTCTGGCTTCAGGCCCTGGCCCCAGGCTGCCTCGGCCCCTGGCCCTGCAGCGTGTCCTGCACCCCTCAGCAGCTGCCATTACTTACTCTGTCCTGGGAGCCCCAACCTAGACCTGACGGCAGAGGACAACCCAGCTTCCCAGCTGCTTTGTCCTGCTGCTCCCAGAGCAAGGTTCCATCCCTTGTCCTTGTGTGGAGGCGAAAGACGAGGGGGTCACAGAAACCACAGACATGAAGTTTAAGAAGCCCAGCAGAGCAGCAAAGTGAACTGAAAGCAGAGGCTACCTGGATTCAAATTCCAGCTCTGCCATTTACATGCTGTGTGACCTTGGGCTAGTGACTTACCCCCTCAGTGATCCAATTTCTTCTCAGTAAAATGGGGATCATAATAGTACTTACCTCCTATGGTTAGGAGGGTTAAATGAGTTACATATGTAAAGTGGGGAACTGAGCAAGCACCTGCAAATGTTAGCCTTACCCCTATGGCCACCCCCAGAACAATTGTGCCCCCAACAGGTGACCAGGCTTAATCCTGAGGGAGGAGCTTGCTAAGCCTCCTGCCTCACTCTGGGCTGGGGTTTAGAGATCCCCTGTTTCCCAGGACTCAGGTCAGAAGATCTGGCCAGGACAGCAAAGGACTTGAATTAGAATCTCTGACGCTGTCGAATAGAATAATAACGAAAGAACAATGACAATAATAATAATAGCTCTGTTGTTCGAGCATGTCTTACAACAGCCCTGCTGGGCAGGCACCCCCATTTTATAGACTGAGAAGACGAGGCTCAGACAAGTTAACTATAACTTGCCTCTTCGCTCAGAAATAATGCCATTATTTCACCCTAAAGTAACAATAAAACAGATCTAGAGAAGGAACGTTCTAGTTGTTGGACTTGCATCCTCCTGGCCTGGCTGGCCCCCCCGTCCCAAGTGGATGGCGGCCGAGAAGTTTCAGGATGCAAGCTCCAGGTTTGGGGGAACGAGCTGTGAGAGTAGAAGTGGCACATCCCATCCCTGGCTGGGCCCTGCTGGTCCCTGGGGCTGACTCCCAGGGCTGTGCAAGGGCAGTCTCACAGGTCCTGGGGAACAGTCAAGAAGGCAGCCCGTCTGTGTGCTGAAAGCTGAGAATAAAGGGGCATGTGTTGGTCCCCTGAGGTCCAGAGGAAGCCTTCTATGGAGACCTGAGTGTCCCCAGAAGGCCTGAGGTCTCACGTGGGATGTGACTGGATATGATGTAAGGACCACCTGGACTGGAACAGATTTGGACGTTTCTGGAATGTATTCTTCCAGCATCCAGGTATCCAGGTGACATGATTGAGAACCTAGAGTTGGACTGTTCAGCCCAGGAGGAACGTGTGGCAAGTCTCTCTCTCTCGATATCTCTCCTGTCACCACGATGGGAGCCTTTATGTCCAGACCACTCTACTCTGTCTCGCCATCAGCTGTCTTGTCTTTCCACACATTACTAGTTTAGATTTCAGGGTCCATCATGTCAGCCTCTCTCTTGCCAGTATCCTCAACTTACTTGCCCCCTTGCCTCACCGTTGCACACTCCAGGTGATGCTCCAACCTGAGACCTGCATCCTGGCCTCTGTGGCTGTTGAGAAAGCACCACCATTGCTCAGGCTGGTGTCTCTGTTAGTGCCTGGTCTCCAGCCTCCCATGGGCTCTCAAGGCTTCTGGCAATCTTGCTGTTTTCTTGGTCAGATCCCTCTCCCATTCTCCACAGCACCTCTTTAAAATGGCCTCTGCCTCACAGAGAGAACAGTTGTCGGTCAGGGCTTCCCTCAACTTCCTGCTACAAACCCCACCAACCTACCTTTTGTCCATTCCTCCTTGTTAGCTGTCAAAATGGCATTGTAAGCCCAGTCCTTCCATCTTGTGCCCTGGATCCATCCTCCTCGCCTCCCGACTCTGGGACTTTAGGAATGGTCTCTTCTCCGCCTTGTATTTTAAACTCCTCTTTCTATCAACATTAACCCATCACATCTCTTCCATCTTAAGAAGCTCCTCCAGTCAGTCAGAAAGACCTGTCAGTCCCACCTTCTGTGCACCTATCACATCTGTTCTGTTTCACTCTGTCCTAACAACCATCCCCTTGTCTAAGTCCCCACCATCTCGTGTCTGGAGATGGCATTAATCAACCAAGTGATTTCCCCACCTCCATTTTTGCCCCTTCCAATTAATTATGCTGCAGGCAGAATGATTGTCCTAAAAGCCAATAGTGACCAGGCCATTCCTCTGCTTATAGTCCTTTACTGGCTTCCTCGGGGGCTTAAGAAACTATGCTGCCTGCTAGGGAGCCTCTGAAACTGGGGACTGGCCCAGGGCTCCTCCCTGGCTGCACCCCTTCCTTCTTGCCAGCGAACCCTCCATGTTCCAGCCACACCAATCTTTCGTGGTTCCTTGAGGTTCTCTCATCTCTGGACCCTTCTGCTATTTCTTCTTTCTGGGATATCCTTTCTTCCAAACCTCTCTAATGTTCTAATAATGTTCTAATGATGTTGCTTCTCATCCCTCAGAGGCCAATGCAGACGGCTCTTCTGGGGCTGTTTGGCCATTTCTTCTGATTCTTTTTCTCCTAAGGCCAATCCCCGGCTCCACACTGTAGCCCATGAGTCACAAATCCCATTCTGGCCAGAGCACATCCCTGATTAAAATCTTTCCATGTTTCTCAGTATCCAAAGTCCAAATTCCTCAGATGGGCTGACAAGGCCACTCAGACAGGAGACAAGGAGGAGTGATTTGGTGGGAGCAAGGTGAGGACTTCCCACCATGTGACTGTCATTTTCTCATGACCTGAGAGGCCAAGTGGTCTGCAGAGCATGGTGTTGGGGGGTACAGAGTGGGGCGATGCTGGGGTGTGAGGCAGTGGAGAGAACTTGAGGGTCGCTGTGGGAGCAGGAGCCGGGAAACAGCATAACTGACGAATAGCACTGCGGACCTGGTGGGGACTGATGAGGAACTCAGGTGACACAGGCCGCCTGGCTGTGTGGATTTCTCTAATAACTACTCACTGAGAGATGGCAGTGCAGTGAAGGCAGATGGGTGGGTTCCTCCATGGAGCGGGGTTTGCTGGCAGGGTGGAACCAAAGGGCAGGGGGCTAAGAGGTTGAGGGCTCTGTCAAGGAGTGGGTGAAATGGCTGGTCACAGAATCTTAACCAGAAGGGAAGTGAAGACAGGAGGGGCCAGTGGGCAGCTGGTTGCAATGTGGACCGAAATGGGGTTTAGTGAGATACTTTGAGCAAACAAGCTGGAGGTGGGAGGTCGTGGGGTCGGCTTCAGTGATTGAGAAAGTAGCAGTGTTTCAGCCCTGCCTGTGCCTCACCCAGCTCTTACCATCCTGTTTCATGTTATAGTGTGTACATGCCCTTCCCCTGCCCTTTGGAATAGGCGTGAACCATATTCTTCACCTGGCATCCTTCCCAGCAGAGCCTGACACAGGCCTTGCCTACAGTAGCTGCTTCGCCTGGCATTTGTGCCATGCCACCCTCCCCATCCCCATTTTCCAGGCCTCTGTGTTTGTCTTCCTTTAGTTTCTTAAAAGAAATATTGTGAGAGTCTAACCCTGCCTCAGCTAAAAGGAAACAGACTTCTCTACACGTTACAGGTGGAGAGGGTTCTGAGGTCCTCAACGGCCCCGGAGTTGGCGATGACGACAGCTCCCTCTCGGGAGCTCAGGAAGAGTGAGAATTTCTAGGGCAGAGAGTAGGGGGCCTCAGGAGGGAAAGATTCAGGGCCAACAGTGGAGTTTCCTACCCTTCCCAATTACAGGGGCTCTCGCCCCGATCCTGGCACACACATTGCCGTGCGACCACGCCAAGTCTTTCATCTACCCAACAAAGCACCTACTATGTGTCAGGCTCGGGAACTAGAGCCACACAGGTGAACAAGACGCAAATCCTGCCAGGAGGAGCTTCCCCCCTGATTAAGGAGACAGGCACACAGAGAAAGAATTGCGGACTGGTGTCTACCACCAAGGGTTTCGGCATAGAAAAGGGGCAAGTCTCTAGTTTAGGGGGAGAGGGTCAGGGAAGACTTCCCAGAGAATGTGGCTCCTAGAGAACTGCGTCTTGAAGGCAAAGAGAACATACAAAGGCTGGGAGAAGTGAGAGAATGTGGCGAGGTCACACAGCAGTTGAGTGTGGCTGGCTCCTGGTGGTGCTTTGAGGGGAGAGGGAGGCCAAATCGTGCTAGGGAGTCTGCACGTTAGCCTGCAAGAGGTGGGGAGCCATGGAAGGATTTTAAGGTAAATTTGCATTTTTGTTTGAGGACAGTCGCTCTAGCTCAAGTGTAGGTGTTGGGGTTGGGGGATGTGGATTTAAGAGCCTGGATGCTGGGTGAATGGGGAGATGAAGGAGCTAGTTCAAGATAGAGGAGAGGGGTTCCATTATGAATGTGTGGAGTGTGAGGAGCCCATGGGATACCCAGTGCTCCTGGACATGCCCATGTGGCTCCCTTGCTGGGCTGGCAACACCCTTCCCCTCATCTGTCAGCTTTTCTCCAGGAGACTGTGACCTTGGCAGCTGAAAGCAATTTTCTCTCGTCAGAGCCTCTGCAGTTCTACGCTTCAACCTCTCAGGAGACACGTCGGGCTTCTCTGCCTCCCTTGGTATCCTCCGCTGGGCTTCACGTAATCTGTACCTCGAGAGGCAGGGAGCAGTGAACGCTAACCAGTGCCCTTGAGCACGCTTCTGGTGGAAATTCATCCAGGCCACCCAGGAAGCGCCCTTGCACCACAGAAGGGGAAATCCCTCCCAGGGCTGGGGCTCTTACCACCCAAACCCGGTTTCAAACACCCCTCCCACGCCTGGGAACCCGGAGGCAGGCCAGCTGGCGAGGTGACTACACAGGCCAGGATGTTCTGGTTTCAGAAGTGGGGTAGGGAGCTGCAGCCTCCGGAGAAGCCAGCTGATAAAACCCCAATACTGAAGCTCCATCTTCACCCAGCATAGGAGCAAATGCGAAGGACTCAGGACGACCCCCTCTAGGACCAGAAACCCACCACCTTCCTGAAGCCCAGCATTTCCTCTCCCCATCTCCCCTCCAGCCTCTCAGTACCCTAGAGGAGAAACCACAGATCTGACCGTGGGCACCTCTGAGGCATCTTCTGTCAGCCTGAGATAGGCACCAAGTGTTCACTGTGGAAGGCGTGGGCGTGGGGGAGGGGGTGGCGAAGGGTCTCTGGGTGAGATGGGGAGGTAAATACAGCAACAATAGCAGCAGCCACCACTTTATTGCACATCTGTCATGTGCCCAGTCCTTCCATGCATGACGTCATTTAATCCTCACAATTGATTACGGCGACCATGATGCCTCTCAAGAAACTGAGGCTCAGAGAGGTTAAGTCACTTTCCTAAGTCCCCTGGCGGGTAAGTGGTGGAGGGGGATTCCGATCCAGGCCTGTCCCATTTCATTCTCGTGTTCTTCCCGCTCTGCCACCACTCACTGTCCTCACGGAAGGAGACTCGCTGGTGCAGTCTCGGGGTGGACAACACCCACTCCTGCCAAAACCCCTGACAGGGGTCACAGGGCAGGGTCAGCTTTGAGGGGTGTTGGGCACAGGCGCTGAGAATCTTCAGGGATCCCAGACACGCCTCTGCCTAGAGACCCCAGATACGGACAGGCAGACTGTGACAGTTCCATGGACACAAACACCCAGTTCCAGGAGAAACACACTGACTCTCCCTCGGTGTGGATGTGAGGAACCACAGAGGTTCCTCATCACACATCCCACAGGAGGGCCGGACAGTCCTGGGGACATGCACACACTCACATACACTATCCCCTTGTGTGTGCAGACACACACTCATGCACTCACTCAGCCCTGGCACAGTCTTGTGGTTGCTGAGGCAGGTCGTGGGAAGGACTTGGGCTTGATCAGATGAGGCTGGCAATGCTGGATGTGGTCTCATGACGCTGGCCAGCAGACAACCTTCCTGAGATGCTGAAGATGCTGCCATTGCCACTGTGGTCACTGTGGGTAGTGGGAGGGGCCGAACGGATTGGCGGGCAATGTCCACTCACGCCCACCTGATATAGCAGCAAGCCCAGCAGCAGGAGTGAGCCTGAGGCAGCCAGGGCGATGCCCACTGACAGCATGGCAGCCAGTGGCCGGGCAGGGGCAGGGGCGGAGGCCAGCCCAGCCAGCGTCAAGCCTGTGACCAGCAGCACCAGGCCACTGAGCAGCACCACCAGGGCATCGGCACCTCCACCACTGCGTAGCAGGGCCACGTGGTGGGGCTGGCGTATGCAGTTCATATCTTGGACTGCCGAGCTCATCAGCTGCTTAACGAGAACCAGTAGGGCCAGCAGACAGAGCACAGTGCCTGCTGCCAGCCTCCACTCACCTGAGCGGCTGCTGGTGGAAGAGAGCAGTGCCACGCCAGCTGCCCCACAGCCTGCCACGAGGCCCACTGCCACCGCAAAGCAGAGTGCTGAGCGTCGTGGCTGCTGGGACCACCACAGCTCCACCTGCTCCACCAGCACATCTGGGGGCAGCCCCTGGCCCAGCGGGGCTCGAGCCTCTCCTGCAGGCATGGTTAGGTCTGGCACAAGTCAGGGCAGAGGGCAGGGTCAGGGGTTAGAGGGTGTGGATCACGGCCTGGAGCCCCCACCCCATGCTTGGCAGCCAGAGGCCCAGAGTCCTGTGTCTCTTCCAGTCCAGCGTATGGTCCCCATCACCTGCAGTGGGAGAATCACAATGTTGTCTCCCAGCCAACTTACCCCTCATGGTCGCTCCTAGGAGTGTTGGGGATGATCCCTGGGAATCCTCCCACGTCCCCTGGAATCCCTCCAGGAAAGCCACTTCCCCAACACTGCCCCTTCGGACTCCCTCTCCAATGACCCCAGGAGAGTTCCCCCCACATAAAGCACCTCCACCCTTCCCCCTGGGAACCCCCTTGCCCAGGCCCTGACCTCTCTGGCTCCGGCTCTCTCAGTTGCCTGTCCCATCCCGGCTGGCGGAGGGAGCTGGTGCCACGGTGGACGACGGGATGAAGAGCCAGAGATAAAGCCTCATTCAGGATCCAACTCACATGGCCTCAGCTGTCACCACTGGCTCCTTGAGGGGGAGGATTGTGGGGAAGGAGGGGGCTTATGACTTAACCCCTGTGGATCCAGCAGCCTGAGCATGACTCTTCTCTCTTAGGGCTATGGCTCCTTCTCTGCGGGTTAGGATCTGACCCCTAACACTCTCCCTTCCCTAGCATTTCATCTAACCTCACAGCCACAGCTGCTGGTTCCCAAATCCCTCCCTCTCTCAACCAGGATTTCCCTCCAGAGCTCCAGACTCATAAGCAAATTGTCACCTTGATGTCCCAACGTTGCCTGATGCAACAGGTCCCAACCCAAGCCCATCATCTTACCCCAAACCTGCTTCTCTTGTGTTTCCTCACTTATGCCCTCCGGGGAGGCCACGTCTAAACGTTTCTCCATCGTTCCCTGCCCTCGTCCCCACCGCCCCTGCCCCTTCACCTCCCTCCCCACCTCCTCACTGGTCTCCCTGCCTCCCCTACTCTGCTCCCTCTCACCGCCCACCCCCCACGCCATCCTGCTCCACGGTTTCTCTAAAGTGGTGCAAAGGGACAGGAGGGCTCTGGACGTGACCCCAGCAGCCATCCTTCTTGCCCAGGGAAGCCTTCACAGGGGTTACTCATTGCATGTGCCCTCTAGAGGCCAGAGGACTCACACTGGGCAAAATCAAGCAGCCGCGGTCCCTGCCCTCAAGGAGCCCCAGTTTACAGCAGGTGTGCTCCTGTGACAAATGTCTGGCAAAGGTTAGTCAGAAGAGGGCTTGGGGTAGGGTCAGAGAAGCCCGCAGGAGTTCACCTCTTAGAGCCTCAGGCTCCTTATCTGAAAGTGAGGACAATAACATTTATCTTGGAGGCGGGGGGGCGAGTCATTTGATAGCTCCATTTCAGAATTCCGGTGGGAATTCTCAGGACTGCACAGATGCCCAAAGCATGCGTTTTGAGTAAAAGAACACAACTTTCTCCCCTCCAATTCAGGACAGGACTCCCGCTTTATACACAGGACACAGGTCCTGGATCATTCCAGGAATATGACTACGTGGCTGTACATGGGTTACACCCCGGATGAGGTATCTGTCCTCCACAACCTCTCTTCAGGGGCTGCCAGAACACAAGGTGGAGGGGCAGGTGCAGATGCCCCCAAGGAAGGTGGGGGAGGGACCGGGGGAGGGGCCTTGCAGTCAGCCCCAGCATTCCCCAGGGCTGTGACTTCATTGGTCTGAAAGTGCTTCCACAGGTGTGCGGGGACAGCGAGGCCAGGCTGGGGGTGGGTGGAGGTTTTTGGGGTAAGAGCCAGTGGGAGAAGTGGGGGCGGTGGGGGTAGGATGACTTTGGGGCACTCACAAGAAGCCTGAAAGTGCTGGATCCGATCCGAGCAGGCAGGGCCAGGCAGGTGAGGCACTCCAGCTCGGTTTCCAGGGAGGCGCTTCACCTGCCTAACCTGCACCCAGGTGAGCCCTGGGGGAGGGAGGCGGATCAACAGGTGTTTCGAAGGCAGGGCTTGAGCCGATTGGCTGACGTGGCACTGCTCCTTCAGCAGGGCAGAGGCATTCCTGGGAAGGGAGGGGCTTCTGTCTGCGGCTGCAAGGGCTCGAACACAATTCCCAGACCCGGGCAGCAGGAGGAATGCTGTCTGTCTGCCCCAGCGCCTGGGCCATCACACATCCCCCAGCTCCAGCCCCAAACCTAACCTTAACCCCAGCCCCAACCCCACATCTCAGCCCCACACCTGAATCTCACATCCCAATCCCAGCCCCCAGCCTCATTTCCAAATCCAACGCCAGCCCCAGCTCCGAATCCCAACCCCAAGTCTGGCTTGAAACCTCGGCTCTAATTCCTCACCTGGATCCCAGCTCCAGATTCTGGAATGAGGTCCCAGACCTCCCCCTCCCCCTCAGCGCCAGCCTTGTCTCCTGTTCCTGGATCCAGCCCCCAAATCTCAAATCTCAACTCAAACCCTGCCTCAGCCCCAAATTCCAACACCAGCTATCCCCAAACCCAGCCCCAGTATCCCGTCCCGCTTTCCTCTGGGCTGGAGTCCGGGGTGGGGGGGGGAGGGGGGAAGCCCCTAGCTCGCTTGCTTAAAACACTTACAGAATAAATGCCACACTCCTTCACAGGGCTCACAAAGCCCCTGCCATCCACACCAGGCCAGTCATTTGCCACGGGTCCCTGCCATCCAGCCAGGATGCATGTCTTCAGTTCTGCAAGCTCTGCCCTTCCGGTTGGCTTTTGAACTCATAGTTCCCTCTGCCTGGGATATTAACCACTCCCCAGCCTCACTCTGGTCATTCATTCACATTCTTCAACTGACATGTCACCTCCTCCAGGAAGCCCTTCCTGACCTCCAGGCTGACTTGCTTCCCCTACAACTGCTCTTACTGCACGTGCTGTAACTGCCCTACTGACTTACCTGTCACCCCCACTAGACGTGTGCCGCCCGGCAGGTACAGATTTAGAGCCCATTTTGCTAAGCACTGCGCCCTCAGCAGCCAGCCAATGCCTGGCCAATGGTAAGTAATCAAATATTTGTTGAATGAATGAATGTGTGAACTGACAGGTGTGAGGTTTTGAGAGCAAGTGAGATGAAGCTGGAAAGACAGGTTTGGCTCGGGTTGCAGAGAGCCTTGAATGCCGTGGTGAGGCATGTGGACTCATGTGAGATGCCCATGGAGAGTTCCGAAGTATAACAGGGACATAGGGAGGGCTCTGCTTCTAATAGGTAAATGTGGCACCACACACCACATGTACTCCAGATGGCAAAGGGGGTGCTGGCTGGAAGTGGTTGCAGGTGGAGGTGTCGCTCGCCTCCTGGCTTGAGCCCCTTGTAATGCCTCTTGCTCTCTCTCCCCCTGATGTGTATGAAATGGACAAGAAAAACGAAATCAAAATTACCTTTCCATCATCAGCTCACAAAATAATTATGCTCGACCTGTCTGTGCTTCTGTTTTGTTCTGCGGAGCTGAATGGGGGCTGATCACAACTCTGGAGCAGCTTATCCAACAGAAAGACAACACGCGCCACACATGTAATTTAAAATCTCCTAGTAGCCACATTAAAAAAGTAAAAAGAAACAGGTGAAATTAATATATTAAAATTTTTATTTAACCCCAGAATATTTTCATCTTAACATATAAGTGATTCATGGGCTATTTCAGTCTTTTATTTTGTATGAAGTCTTGAAAATTCATTGTGTATTTGATACTCACCGTGCGTCTCAGTTCAGACTAGCCACATTTTAAATGCTCAGTTGCCAGATGTGGCTCGGGGCTCCCTTACTGGACAGTGTAGCTCTAGATGGTTCTTTCCCTTAAATAAAAGTTAGGGCAGGCTGACCGCTGTGAGGCAGGCTGGATCTTGGGGACAACCATGTGGGTTTGCCACTTTGCAAAGCAGTATAAAGGTGTCCCTTGCACTGGGAGGAGTGGGGAAGCAGGGGGCCTGGCAGGGGCTCACTGGCTGGGTATTCCTCTCGCAAGTATCTAACATTTATTTATCCTCCTGGTCCCAAGGAGGGGCCAATCTCAGCCAGACCCATGGTCCAGCTGTCCTGGAGAGAGCTGGACAGGGCAGCTCATGAGATTTTCCCTCCCTTTCCCCTGGGGGTTTGAAGGGAAATTTTTGGGTAGGGAGAACAAAGCCGAAAAGCATCCTCAGTTCAAACATTGATTGGGCGAGCTTTTGTTCTCCGTCTTATCAAATAACTTGGAGTTAAAGAGACAGGCAGGCTCCTCGCAGGGCTGTTGAACTCTGTCCCCAAAGCAGGTGCTGTTGGGGCAGCTTAGGTGGACGGTAATGAAGGTCAGGAGGAAGAGGTGGCAGTGGGCGCAGAGTGCAAGGTGTGGGTTCCAGCTGATCAATTATTCAGGCGCCAGACAGTGGGAATATTGTCAGGAGACAGAGTCCCTGGGCCCCAGGCATTCCCACCCCGACTATTCTCAGCCTGGCAGCGGGAGTAATCCTGTTTTAAGGTAGAGTAGGTAACGTCACTTCCAAGCTTGAGTCCCTCCTGTCTTACCCAGAGAAACAACCAAAGTCCTCCCCCCATCTCTAAGGCCCTCTGACCTCATCCTCTGTTGTTCCTCCATCAATGCTCTTGCTCAGAGCCTTTGCACTGGCTGTTCCCTCTGCCTGAACTGCTTTTCTCCCACCTTCTTTCCCTCACCTTCCTTCAGGAATGTGCTCAATGTCGCCTTCTCAGTGAGACCTTCTGGCTCCCCTGTCTAAAATCCCAACCTTCCCCAATACTTCCTATCCCCCACCCTATTTCTTTTTCTTTATTCTCTTATATTTCTTCTTAGCACTTATCTCTGTTTAATATGCTTTATAGTTTTCTTCTCTATCTGGAATACCGTCTATCTACCCCCTAGAATACAAGCTTCATGAAGAAAGGGATTTGTGACTGTTCATGGTGTACCCCAGCTCCTGGAATAGGCCTGGCATCCAATAGGTGCTCAATGAATGCTTGTTGAATGAGTGAATGAGTGGTGGAAAGAACACTGGCTTTGGAACTAGATTGACCTTGAAGGTTCAAGTCCTGGTTCTAGCTGTGTAGCCTTAGAAAAATGGCTTAACCTCTATGCGTCTTAGTCTCTTCATCTGTAAAATGGGGACAACAGTACTTAGTCTAAATAGTTGTGTCAGGGTGGATTGAATAATATAACCAATTCATCCAGTAAACATTTACCCTTTCCCTTCTCTGGACCAGGTATTGTGCCAGGTGGAGACCCAGTGAGCAAGGGAGGCCAGAGGGCCCGTCCCTGCCTTCCAGAAGCACGTCTGGAGAAAAATGGGCAGAAAGCCCAGGGGAACAGCAGGTCTCTGGTGGCTCCAGGCTCCTGCCCCCACCCCCATGCTCTGTGAGTGACAGGGCCCCCAGACAGACATCTTTTGAAGTATCTGCATCGCTCACAATGACCCACTTCACTGCACGGATTCCAACAACCAGGAATCTACTTTGCGACCCACCCTGATGGATACGGTTGATCGGAGAGAGGTGAGCCCCAGACTCAAGCGAGGCCCAAAATATTCTCTTTTCGCAATTTAAAATCAGACTAGAGATTCCATTTCAGCCTTGGGGCTCCTGCTAATGAGATGCTAGGGTACCCTTCTGCCAGCTGAACTGGCAATGGGAAGCTAGTCTGCAGACAGGGGCAAGGACAAGAGAGGGAGAGGGGGTTCCAGCAGCGTCCCAGGCCCTGGTTCATGTCCTTCTTGAGGACTGCTTGTATCTCTGCCTTGAGATTCTATGAGACATCTCCAGAGCCAGATAATGAACTCTCCCTTTTTGCTTAAATTGGCTGGAGTTGCTGTTACACTTGCTGCCCCTGCCAAATCCCACCAAGTGACACATACTAGATGAGCAATAAATACAAATTCTTGTACACAACTGGTCATTGCAGGTGATCAGGAACGCTAGTCCTTCTTGGACTAGCAGTGTTAGTAACTAGTAATAGCAGGGTTACTTCCTTGTAAATCTTCTCTGCAGCCCAGCTCAGCTCAGCTCAGGGGAGTCTGAGTGCACTTCAGGCACACTTAAAGCATAAGCAGGCCCCCCAAACTCCACTGGTCTAGGGGAGCTCACCCCAACAGAGCTCAGGGAGAGTGAATGCTGCTCCTGGTCCGCACATGCCTTCTCTCTCACCTCTCACTCCAAATCCAGAGCAATGATTGCAAGGGGGTCCTACCTGGACACTCAGATATTCCCAGGCCCACCAGGGCCCCTCAGGCACTTCCTGGGAGCAGCTGGCTGGTAACGGCTGGTTGTGCTTTGTCTAAGGAGCAATGGGGAAAGGTAGACGCTGATGTCAGAACCTCCTGTGGGGCAGGGTCTTTGGTGCTGGGAGAACAGGATGGCAGAGGAAGCTGAGCTGGGCAGCTCACATTGTTTGGCCACAACTGATGCTAAGACTCTAGAAGAAGGGGAAGGGAGCCAGCGGATGTCTGGGGCCCAGAGAGAGGGCAGCCCCCAAAGGCTGTCACACTAGACCGGAATGAGTTCTCAGAGCTCAATGATGGACTACAACTAGAAGAACAAGAGTGGAGTTCATAAGCCAATGCCTACCCATTTGGGTGGCAGCAGGGTCCCTATGGCTGCTGCAGGAGGAGGTGACTGACAGACCTACTCCATCAATGAGGGCTAAACTGACTGAAGGGACCCTGTGAAGGAGAAGGTGGCACCAGTGGGGTGAGAACCTCCCCATGGAGTCAGGATAGGCAAAGTAGAGGGGGCGGATCTCATAGGCAGAAGCCACTCAGTCAATGCCACCCAACCAATGCCACCCAACAGGTTGATGTAGGAACATGTAAGACAGAAGATGGAGAAATAAACAAGATTGTATCTCTGGCCCCAGATTTGCTAGCAAGAAGCTGTGCTCACCCCTGTGCAGGTAAGAAAACACCCTGCTGACCTGTTGGCCAAGGTGCCAGGCTTTGCTGGGGTGGGGCTCTCCCTTGGTCTGGGCTTCCTCCTCCACCTTGTCCTCACCAGCTGGACTGCAGCCAGCCACTGGCTTAGGTGAGCTTAGTTTCAGAGTTGTCAGCTCCTTTTACTTCTTGTTTAGACTCTGGGCATCATACTCCTGTAACCTCCACCAGTTGGCCTGGTGTTCTGTTTGAGAGTACCTGGTGCAGGCTTAAGAGCGTGGGTTTAGAGGCCACTGGGCAGACTGGGCTGCAATCTTGGCCCTGCCAGTGTGACCCTGTGCCAGCTACTTTATCCTCCTTTCTTTTGGTTTCCTCATCTGTAACCTAACGCTCATCTTGCAGGTGAAATGTGATGTCTTGCTCCTATGTAATTTTTAAGTTGAGAAATCTGTCCTTTGAAAGCTGCTACATCCTAGCCACAGTGAATTTCCTTCTTGCCCTCAGAAGAGCCCCAGTTTCCTCTGCACGTTCCTTCTTCCTCCCCTTTTGCTTGGCTAACTCTCTCCAGTCCTTAAGTCAGAAGAATTCACTTCTCTGCATCTCCACTGCCACCATCTTGGTCCCAGCAGCTGTACTCCCACGTGTGGTCAGCCACAGTGTCCTCCTAACTTGTCCCCCTGCCTCCGGTGTCGGGTTCCTCAATCAATGCTCCATCCTGATACCTGAGTGAACTTTACAAGCAGACACAGCCTTTGCCCCATGGAACTGAGAGCCTAGTAGGAGAGGCAGCATCAAACAACTGAACAGATGTGTTATAATGAGGGTTATAAAGGAAAACAATACGGTGAGGGTAATTTACACAGGCGGAGGGAGAGATCAGGGACTGTCTTTCTGAGCAAGTGACATTTCAGCTACATCTGAAGGATGAGCAGAATTTCACTGCGTGAAGTGAGGGGGTAAGAGCATTTCAGGCTCTTCAGCATTTCAGGCAGAGAAAACAGTATGTGGAAAGATCTGGAAGCAGGGAAGAACACAGCCTTCTATAGGGACTGAAAGGAGGATAGTATGGCAAGAGCTTGGGAAGCAGTGGGGGTGACTCTCAGTGCCTTAGTGCTGGCCTCTGGACAGAGCCATATCTGTAATGTGCCTTCAAGACCCTGTGCCATCTGGCCCTGCTGACCTCCTCAACCTCATTTCGAGTCAGTTTCTTCTGCCAAGGTAAAGCCAAGACACTAGCGTGGAATGGAGAAATCTGAGTCCCAGAAGAGCCCGTCTATCTGGCGTGATAATGGAACAGGTTGTCGTCTTTGTGGCTGAGTCTCTCAGAGGATGCCTGAATTTTCTCCTCTTCCTAGGGCCCGGTCTCCCAGTGAGCAGAGGCCATACTGGGGTGCATGCTTGTCTGGAGGGGATAAGCTGGCCACTGTGACAGCGTGCAGGCTGGGGGTGGGGTTGAGGGAGTTGCAAAGGAGAGAGAGTCCCATGTAGACTTGCTTTGTGGCTTCTGCCATGCACCTTCCTTCTGTTGTCCCCAGCCTTCCAGAGAACCTCGTCAGGAGTGCCAGCTACATCTCAGCTCTCACTGGGGAAACTAACCCAAGAACAGAGTTGGAGTAAAGCAGTTGGGGAAGATGGGGAGATGCCCTGGAGATGTCAGGTTTAAGACAGCCAGGAGGGACCAGCAGGGACGAAGGATTAAATATTTGTTATTTGAGTATGAGACAGTCGTACGGCCTCTGCAGGTGGGAGAAGACAGGAACATGTGGGTTACATTCCTTTACTCTTTAGTGCATAAAAATGACCTTTCTTGGTATGTGTGGCTGGGTCACCCAGTGTGAGGCCTAGAGGAAGAAGTATGCCCCAGAAGCGGAGGAGTGGGGCAGGGCAGTGCAGAACAAGGATGACAAGTCTAGAGCAGCGGGGAGGGAGAGAAATAAGGGCAGGGCTCTGCATGGAGTCCTAACAACAGAGACAGCAGATAACGGAAGACTTGGGGGCCTCTGGGAACTTTGCCATGTTCATTATTTCACTTTCATCTTTACACAGATGTAAAAATCCTCAGGAAACCTCATTTAGTTTCTTAAAGGAGAAGAAAATGTAGGAGGGTTTGTCTGGTCCTGAGTTGGTCGGCAGAGGAGAAAGCCAGGTTAGAAGTGCAGGCAGTGACACTTAGGATGGAAGCAGGCAGTCCCATCCTTGAGGCCCAGAGAAGCCAGCCCCACCATCCAGTGCAGTCTCTGCCGGTGCAAGCAGCCGTGGCTCTGGATGAGCTGGAGCCCTCCAGCCCTCAGGGTCACCTGTCTTCCTTCCCCTCTCCCCAGTTCCCTGGCTAAGCAGAGTTGGACACGGTTGTGGGCAAACACTTTTATTCTGTGTCCCACATTCCCCAGGGCAGGAGAAAGAGGTTGATGTGGTCAGTGCTACAGGGACTGCAGCCCAGAGTCAGCCTGACGACAGATGTGCAGTGCTGCTTTTGCTGGGGCTGGAGATGGCTCACCGGAGGGAGTCACTGGGTCTGCACCTCAGAGTCCGCTTCTGACTCAACGAGGGAAGGAAGCCGAGTTCCGGCAAGGGAGTGGAACCCTGGGACCTGATCTTGCTCTTGGATCTGGTCTCTGAGGCGCTGGATTTCCAGGCGTTGCATTTCGATAATTCTCCCAGTTTCTTCTTGCTCATTTAGTCTCACGGTGGCAGCGATGCCAGGTATGTCCTCGCTGGTCACTGTAAGGGACAGAGCAGGACTAATGCGGGCCTGTTACTAGACTGCTGATAAGCTTTTTGAAGACAGCTTATCCTTCCTGCCCCCTCAGACATTTATTGAGCACCCACTATGGAGTAGACACTCAATCCCAGATGCTAGGGATACAAGTATAAGCCATTTCATTGTCTAGCAGAGATGGAGAAATAAAGTAACATACTTCAGTGATAAGGTGAATGCTGAGCATGACCTCAGCCCAGCCCCTCTCCTGAGCCCCCTAATCTGCCTGCCCCGAAGGCCCCTCTGGTGGAGGCTGCTCATTTTCTCATTCTCTACACCCCATGCAGGGTGGCACTCTCTTGTCAACCTAGGTTGGCTTCCAAACTGCCAGTCTTCCTCCTCAGGTAAAAGACCCTTGCTCCTGGAGACAGACCCCTTTCTACCCTCCTGGCATGGCTACCCACTCAGGTTCCTTGAGGTCCTTCCCCATTACTTTCTGTCATCCTCCTGTCTCAGGTGCTGCCATCATGCTGGGCAACGCTGGTATCCATGAAGGTCCATGGCTCATCCCATTCCCCGGCCGCACAAGGCTGAACTCTCAGCATTAATGTCCATGGCCTCCAAGTCATGGCAGCACCCACTTCTGTGGCTTCCCCTCCCCCCTCATCACACCCAAGACCCTGCATCTTTTATTTTTTATTTTTATTTTTTTGAGGAAGATTAGCCCTAGCTAACTACTGCCAATCCTCTTCTTTTTTCTGAGGAAGGCTGGACCTGAGCTAACCTCCATGCCCATCTTCCTCTACTTTATACATGTGACGCCTACCACAGCACGGCATGCCATGCGGTGCCATGTCTGCACCCGGGATCCGAACCGGTGAACCCCGGGCCGCCTACAAGCGGAATGTGTGAACTTAACCGCTGTGCCATCAGGCTGGCCCCATCCCCTGCATCTTTTAAATCTGTCACTCTAGTTCTCCATTCTCTCATCACAACCTCTCTTACTGCCTTCTGCTCAAGACACCTGTTCTTTGACTGAATTTAGACCTCTTCTTCCTGGACAACTCCATTTTTTACCTACCAAAGGGGTTCCTTTTACATTCACTTCCATTCATCCATTGATGGACACCTGAGTTGCTTCTACCTTTTGGCTACTGTAAATAAAGCAGCTATGAACACAGGTGTACAAATATCTCTGAGACCTTGCTTTCAATTCTTTTGTGTACATACCCAGAAGTGGAGTTTCTGGTTCATACGATAATTTTGTTTGTAATTTTTTGAGGAAACACCCTATAGTTTTCCATAGTGGCTGCACTATTTTACATCCCTACCAACAGTGCACCAGGGTTCCAATTCCTCTAGATCCTCGCTAACACTTAATATTTTATTTTTTTTAATAGTAGCCTTCCTAATGAGGTGGTATCTCATTATGGTTTTGATTTCATTTCCCTAATGATTAGTGATGTCTTGAGCATCTTTTCATGTGCTTGTTGGCCATTTATATATTTTCTTTGGAGAAATGTCTGTTCGAGTCCTTTGCCCATTTTTTAACCAGCTTATTTGCTTTGTTGTTGTTGAGTTGTAGGAGTTCTTTACATATTCTGGACATTAACACCTATCAGATACATAATTTGAAAATATTTTCTCCCATTCCATAGGTTGCCTTTTCACTCTGTTGACTGCGTCCTTTGATGCACAGAAGTTTTAAATTTTTATGTAGTCTAATTTATCTATTTTTTCTTTTATTACCTGTGCTTTTGCTGTCATATCCAAGAAATCATTGACAAATCCATCCTCTCCTCCATTCTTAACAGACGACACTGCCTCTTCACTAGGAAACTGTGCCTCCAACTCCCTGGCCACAGTCAAGCTCTCTCAGTGGAAGAGGGGTCTCTCCTACCCACTGCCAACCCCTTCCCTGTACATCTGGAGGAAAAACTAGAAAAGAACAGATGTTGGAGGCCAAGGAACAGAGCGTTTCAAAGAAGAAGTGGTCAGCAACGGCCAGTGGCCAGCCTTGCCCTGGGCCTCTAGTTGGTCTTATGGGGCCAGCATTCAGAGTACTTGACTTATCCCATCGCTCCCAGGAGCGGTCTGCACGCTTCTCTTTCTGCCTTTGCTCCTTAATTCTTCTCCTCTGCTGCAATTTCTAGGCTCTTGATTTTTTAGTATTTTTTCTTTTTCTAGGTCTTGAGTCTTCATCCTCCTTCTGCTGCTGATTGCCTGTGGTAACCATCCCCTCAGCTAAGCTGTGCCCTGGCCCTGGGGAGAGCAGCACCCCTGGGAAGGTACAGCAGACACAAGCATAGAGGCCCATTCACCTGCTTGGGTCCGCATAGCTTGCCTCTGCCTAGTTTCTGTTTACCTCTCCACCTGTTCCCTCATCTACTTCCTCTTTCCTTGTTACCAGCATTGTCCTTGGACTAAGCCCTGTGCCCTCCCCCACAGCCCTTTACACACAGCTACTTACCCAGTCACCATCTGGCTGCCCAGGAGGACCTAACCTGTGTTTGTGAGCCCATAGTCCTTGGGGTACCCATTGGAGTGAACCTGGAAATATTCCAGCACTTGGAATTTTCCTTTTCCTCTGCCCTGCCTCAGCAGGACTGACCACACCATCGTCTCTTTGCCCCAGTGCTTCTCTCGGTGTTATAAAGATCTTGGCTGTAGCCATAAGGCCCTCTAGGCTGCTCCATCACTGGGTGAGGTCAATTGACCTCAGAGGTCGGGCAATGGGAGGTACTGCATAGGCAGGCTCTTCCCCCACATGCAAGGGATGGGGAGATCAGACACCACAGAGGTGTAGGGAAGCTCAGGGATGACAGAGAGCTGCTGGCTGGCCTCCAGAAGTAGTCATCTCCTGGAATATGCCTGGCCTGGGTGACACTGCCTCACCAATGCTCCCAGGGCTACAGCTCTGCCTCCTGGGAGACCAGCTCCCATGGAGGATGGTCCAGTGGGCCCAGTGTGAGGCTTCTGCCCTTGTTTGCCACTCTGTCTCCTTCTCTGGTCTGTGAACATCTTGAGGGCCCAGGCTCTGTTTTTCCTCCATTTCTTCCCTTCTCTCCCACAGTTCTCTCCCATTCCCTTTGATAGTGACCTGCCTGCTCACGATAGTTTGGTTCAGTCTTACAGGGTGCCCCCTTTCATGGTCCTTCTTCCACGTGCTGGAACTGTTAAACCCTCCTGTTCCTCTCCGCCGTGGCTGTGCGATGTCAGTTCACTCCTCATGGCCCCCCTCACCTTTCTCCTCATATCCCCCAACTCCTCTTCCTCCCTGCTCTGCCCTGAATCTGCTGTCTTCCAGACCTGGTCAGCCTCCCTCTCTGCATCCTGCCCACAAGTTTCCTACAGCAGATTAAGTTCTAATCTTAAATGACGGAAAATAAGGATGTGAATTCCATACATCTTCAGTCATTTGTACTCTTATTTCCATTTTATGTTGGTATTACTTTTTCATTTTCTTTTTTGGCCTTTTTAAATTTAGAGTTTCTTTTCCCTTTACTGGTTTGGATGGTATACATTCTCTTTTTCTTTATTTCTTTTTTACTAGTTACCCTAAAAAGTTTAACACCTATATATGCTTGTTAAATGTGTATGTTGTGTGTGTGTGTGTGTGTGTGTGTGAGGAAGATTAGCCCTGAGCTAACATCTGAGCCAATCTTCCTCTATTTTATGTGGGATGCTGCCACAGCATGGCTTGATGAGCAGTGCTAGGTCCGTGCCCCACATCCGGGCCTGTGAACCTTGGGCCGCCCAAGTGGAACATGTGAACTTAACCGCTATGCCACTGGGCCAGCCCCTAACAAGCAACATTTAACTTGAGTCCAAAATAAATCAACACCGGAAAAAATAAAAAATCTTTAAAAAAAAACAAGAAAAGGGGCTGGCCCCGTGGCCGAGTGGTTAAGTTCGCGTGCTCTGCTGCAGGCGGCCCAGTGTTTTGTTGGTTCGAATCCTGGGCGCAGACATGGCACTGCTCATCAGACCATGCTGAGGCAGCGTCCCACATGCTACAACTAGAAGGACCCACAACGAAGAATATACAACTATGTACCGGAGGGCTTTGGGGAGAAAAGGGAAAAAATAAAAAATCTTTTAAAAAGAAATCAACATCTTTACCCTCTTGTACAACAACACGAGACTTACAATGCGTTTGCTCCAAGCCCCCCTGGTTTATACGCCCAGTGTTTTAGTTCTAGCCTGATATTTTAATCCACAATTTATACATTGTTTTTATTGTTTTATACAACTAGTGATTGTTTAGATTCCACATATTTGCCTTTTCCTTGCTCATCATTTCTTCTTGCATTCAGACTTTCCTCTGGAATAATTATTCTTCCTGATATATATCCTTTAGAAGTTCCTTTGAGGTTTTGTTGGTGACAAATTCTCTCAGTTCCTGTTTGTCAGAAATTTTTTTCCTGTGGACCCATTTTTTAGAAGACTGTTTCATTGGTTATATAACTCTAGGGGAGAGTTACTACCTCTCAGGACTGTGAACACACTATTTCACTATTTCTAGTTTACACTGTTGCTATTGGGAAGTCACACATCAATTGAATTGTTATTCCTTTGTATGCAATCTATCCATTCTCTCTGGCGTTTTTAACATCTTTTTCTTTGGCTTCTGCAGTTTTGATGTAGATTTCTTTTTTATTTCTCCTGCTTGAGATCCACTGGGCCTCTTGGATCTGATGATGGACATCTTTCATCAATTCTGAAAAACTTTCAGCCATTCTTTATTGTCATGTTCCCTCTCCCATTCTCTCTTTCTCCAACTTCAATTAGACATAAGTTGGGTTATCCCATTCCATCTTCTTTGTCTTTTACTAGATCTTTGTCCCTTTGGGCTACAACCTGGGTAATTTCTTCATTCTTTTAGTTCATGACTTTCCTTTCAGATGTGTCTACACTGCTCTTCAATCTGTCCATGGAGTCTAATTACAGTTTTCATTTCTAGAAGTATTTTTGGTTCTTTTTCAAATTGACTTCATCAATCTTGGGAGATTCTTGCTTTTTTGTCTTATTTTCAAATTCCTTTTTTATTTTTTTAAACATAGTAAACATTCGTATTTTAATGATTCTATTATCCACGGTCCTTGTTGATTTTACTCTGCAGTTTGACACTTTTGTTGCTTTTCACTCAGGGTGATTTATTTCCTCACATGTTTAGTGAGTTTTGACCACGAGTTCACGCTCCTTGGAATATTATCTATGGGAATTCTTCGACCCCTGGGTTTACAAGGTAGTCTTCCAGAGAGAATTTGCATCTGCTTCTGCTTGGGATCTGGGGACACAACCAGTGTGGGTCATTGTAAACTAAATTTTAAACTAAATTCTCAGCCAACGTTGCTCTGAGTTACAAATTAAGCATAAATTCTGGACTTAAACCTGCCTGAGTGTGGATTTTAGTTGGAATTCTCAGGGAAAGATTTTTCTCTTGTTTTTTCTCCCCTTCACCCAGAGCCAAGGCTGACAGACACGTATCGCACCCATCTCCCTCTGCAAGGCAGGGTTCCCCTCTAGTTGGCCCATACAGTTTCCTAGCTCATTATATACTCATTTGACTCCATTTCTTCCTTCCTTTCTCTACATCATCCCCAATACTTGCATTTTATGTGTTATCTTTTTCTTTGGATAATAGTTATCATAATGAGTGTGAAGTGGTACCTCATCGTGGTTTCAATTTGCACATTTCTTATGATTTTTACTGTTGAGCATCTTTTCACATGCTCATTAGACATCTGTATATTTTCTTTTGAAAAACATCTATTCAAGTCCTTTCCCATTTTTTAAATCTTTTTTTTTAGTTATTGTTGAGTTGTAGTTCTTTACATATTCTGGATATCAGTCTTTTATTAGATATATGACTTGCAAATATTTTTCTCCCATTCCATGGGTTGCCTTTTTACTCTTGTTGATAGTGTTCTTTGATGCACAAAAGTTTTAAATTTTGATGTAGTCTACTTTATCTATTTTCCCTTTTGTTGCTTGTGCTTTTGATGTCATATCTAAGAAATCATTGCCAAATCTAATGTCATAAAGCTTTTCCCCTTTATTTTGTTCTTCAGGTTTTATAGTCTCAGCTCTTACATTTAGGTCTTCGGTCCACTTTGAGTTAGTTTTTATATACTATGTAAGGTAATGGTCCACTTTCATTTTTTGCATATGAATATCCTGTTTTCCCAGCACCATTTGTTAAAAGATTGTCCTTTCCCCATTGAAGGTCTTGGCATTCATGTTGAAAATCATTTGACCATATACACGAGGGTTTATTTCTGGGCTCTCTATTCTATTCCATTGGTCTATGTCTATCTTTAGGTCAGCATCACATTGTTTTGATTACCATAGCTTTGGAAGTAAGTTTTGAAATCACGAAGTGTGAGACCTCCAACTTTGTTCTATTTTTTTCAAGACTGCTTTGGCTATTTGGGGTACCTTGAGATTCCATATGAATTTTAGGATGGGTTTTCTATTTCTGCAAAAAAAAAAGTCACTGAGCTTTTGATAGGTATTGCATTGAATCAGTAGATGACTTCGGATAGTACTGACATCCCAACAATATGAAGTCTTCCAATCCGTGAACATAAGCTGTTTTTCCACTTATTGGTGTCTTTAATTTCTTTCAGCAATGTTTTGTAGTTTTCAACGTACATGTCTTTTGCCTCCTTGGTTAACTTTATTCCAAAGTATTTTATTCTTTCTGATGCTATTGTAAATGGAATTGTTTCCTTAATTTCCTTTTTGAATTGTTTGCTGTTAACGTATAAAAATGCAACTGATTTTTGTGTGTTGATTTTGTATTTTGCAATTGAGATTTTTGATCCTTTGCAGAAAACCTCCCACTCTCCTCTTTGGAAACTTGCAGGCTTTTCTTTGTATCCTGGTGTTCTGAAATTTCATGATAATGGCCCTCGTGAAGGTCGACTTGTTTAACCATTGGACAGTGGACGACCTATCAGCTCTTAGAGACTTTCCCTCTTGTTTTCAGCCCTACCTTCACCTCCTCTTCCAGGGATATCTGCTTCTGCTAATTCCTGAGCCTTTTGAGGGTTCTGTGATGTACATTAGGTTTCTTCTAGTTCCCTATAGTTCCTCTGGCTTAGGATTCAGGTCTTGGGCCTATGCAGTCAGTTACCATTCATCTATCCATTTTCCAGCTTTTAAAATTTTGCATCTCTTGTTTCGTTCTGTGTTTTCTTTGATCTTATGGTTTATTTATGCCATTTTGGTAGGCTTTCAATTAGCCATCTTTAATTAAAAGTTCTAATGACATGATTTTAATAATTGAAAAACAAACAGATGTGTTGATTAGACCTGTTAATTGTTGTGTGAATGAAAACATAAATGCTGCTAAAGCTAAACCAGTGGTTTGGGGATGGCAACCTCTCCTGTTCAGATAATGAATTCTTAAAAACCAACTGAATTGGTCAATTCCTTAAACAACTTGAGGATGACTATTTTGAGCTAACTTGTCGTGGCGGGCCTAAGTTCAAAATCAGAGGTCAGACTTAGGTTCTTCAGGATCAAGGCAGACAACTGGTAATACCTGTTGTCAACTGTTACAAATGAATCTTCCATGAATAAAACTATCTTGCACAAATGATGTGATGTTTGGTCTGTTTCAAAATAATCCACGCTGGGTGTTGGCAGAAATAACTGGGGCGGGGGGCGGGGCGGATACTGATGAAGCAAGTGTCAGGAATTGATACTTGTTGAAGTTGGGGAATGAAGTCATGGGAACTCATTAGATTTTTCTCTCAATATTTGTATCTCTCTGAAAATTTCCATGATAGTAATAAGAAGAACATGACTATATCATAGGGCATCCTGAGGAGGTCTCAATGGATTATTTGCTAGGATGCTTGGGGATATTTGAAGTATTTTTAATTTTTTTATTATTTTATTATTTTTTTTTTTTTAGTAAATGTTCTGTAAACGATTTCTTTTTTTTTTTATTGAGTTATTGATAGGTTACAATCTTGTGAAATTTCAGTTGTACATTAATGTTTGTCACTCATGTTGTGGGTGCACCACTTCACCCTTTCTGCCCACCCCCCACCCCAACTTTCCCCTGGTATCCACTAAACTGTTCTTAGTCCATAATTTTAAATTCCTCATATGAGTGGAGTCATACACAGATTGTCCTTCTCTCACTGGCTTATTTCACTTAACATAATTCTTTCAAGGTCCATCCATGTTATTGCAAATGGAATGATTTTGTTCTGTTTTGCAGCTGAGTAGTATTCCATTGTATATATGTACCACATCTTCTTTATCCATTCATCTGTTGCTGGACACTTAAGTTGCTTCCACATCTTGGCTATTGTAAACAGTGCTGCAATAAACATTGGGGTGCATAGGACTTTTGGGATTGCTGACTTCAAGCTCTTTGGATATATACCCAGTAGTGGGATGGCTGGATCGTATGGTAATTCTATTTTTAATTTTTTGAGGAATCTCCATACTGTTTTCCATAGTGGCTGCACCAGTTTGCATTCCCACCAGCAGTGTATGAGGGTTCCTTTTTCTCCGCAACCTCTCCAACATTTGTTGCTATTAGTTTTAGATATTTTTGTCATTCTAACGGGTGTAAGGTGATATCTTAGTGTAGTTTTGATTTGCATTTCCCTGATGATCAGCGATGATGAGCATCTTTTCATGTGCCTATTGGCCATCAGTATAT